TCCCTTCCCCCTCTCCCATTTCTGAAGAAGGGTCCCGACCTGAAATGTCAACTTTCCTGCTCCTCCGATGCTGCCTGGTCTGCTGTGCTCCTCCAGCTCCACTCTGTGTTATCTCTGACTCCAGCATCGGCAGTTCTTACTATCTCTAACATTCTGAGGACCTGGATTCGAATCCCGCCAAGGTAGATGGTGGAATATGACTGCAATGGAAATCTGGAATTAAGAGCCTAATGATAACAATGAATCTGTTGCCGATTGTCGGAAAAACCCATCTGGCTCATTAATGCCCTGTGAAGCTGCTATCCTTACCTGGTCTGGCCTACATGTGAATCCAGACCCACAGCTGGTGGTTGACTCTTAACTGTAATTAGGGATGGGCAATGAACGCTATCCCAGCCAGAGACTCACTCATCTCATGAATGAATTAAAAAGAAACTAATTCCGTTTGGAAAAGAAAATTGCTGTCTTTATCCAGTCCACAGTAATGCCAATGATTCTTAAATATCCTCTGAAATGACCTGATGAGAGTGATAACGGAGGGCCAATAAATCGCTACACTGGCAATGTCCAAATCCCATCAAAGGGAAAAGAACAAAAAACATTTCCAGAAAGACTGAGATAACAAGGTGTAGAGCTGAATGAACACAGCAGGCCAAGCAGCATCAGAGGAGCAGGAAAGCTGACGTTTTGGGTCAGAAGAAGAAGGGCCCAGACCCAAAATGTCAGCTTTCCTAAGCCTCCTCTGATGCTGCTTGGCCTGCTGTGTTCATCCAGCTCTACACCTTGTTATCTCAGATTCTCCACCATCGGCAGTTCCTACTATCTCTAGAACGACTGATTTCAGATCGTTCATCCTCAGTGAAGTCCGAAAACAAAGGGATGTTACACATAACATTATCCATATTTCTTGTACTTGATTTGACTATGTGGTTTAATTTACACCAAAAATAAAGTTCTATCACCTACATGAAGATGCAAATGTCACATACGAGTTTGACCCAGAGGTGAGAGTGGCCATGGCCATCATTGATCAGAATCGCACCTTCACTTCTTGATAAACTCGCTTAAACAAGCGATGTCCTTTCCCTGCAATTGTGTCCCGGGCATATGTAAATGCGAATGGCCTCATGCTTGTTAAGGTGCTCAGTGGGTGCTGTGGTGTCCCAGAGAATGAACCAGGATCACACCGATCCTACCTCCAATCACTTCCTTCTTTTTCCTCCATGCAACAATGACGAAAATGATGATGACAACCATTCCACTGGCAATGACCCCAACAGCCAGCAACAACGTCTTGGTGAAAGAACCTGCCAATCAAAGCAGCAAAGGTTAGAGTTAAGATATACCCAGTTGAGGACATTGCACATGGGCAGAGAAATGGAATCTATACTTCCTACAGTTACATACAGAGCTTGGCATGCATTATAAGATGGTGTCCATCATCTCGCGGACCTTTCTGCCTATATTATTGAGAAAAGGATCCGCCACTTCGCCAGCCCATTCCCAGCCCCAGACCTCCTCTGTGTTCTGTGGACATGCAACAATGCATTTTATAGGTTATTCCATTCCTCAGTATGGATGTTTTCAATTTCAACCGTGAAAACTAAACCAAATGTGACCGCAAATGGAATCTGATGGGCACGGCCCATTGTCAGGAACATTTTGTTAATGGAGTTCCATGGGCTAAAGTAGCAGCTGCATCCCAAAACATGGGATAATTCTAAACCTGCATTCTAGCCAGTTCTCTCAAAGAGCAATTGGGTTGAAATAATGAAATTCATTCTAATGATAAGCCTGTATAGACAGCAATCATTTTAATTGAACACTGCCAATGAGAATATAAATGGGAAGATCTGATCGACCTCTTTGATTTCTATGAGGATGTTATAGACACAGTAGATAGTAAGAATCCTAAATTAGTGGAAGCAAATCCACTAATTCCAATCTCCCAGAAAGAATTAACAGCAGCAATCAGAGAATTGTTTCTTCCAGTATTGTAACCTGGTTCATTAAGAAATGTTCACAAATTGGAATCTACAGTGTGGAGACACTGGGCCATTTGGTCCAACTAGTCTATGCTAGAATTAATGTTCCATGGTGAGCCTCTTTCTATTCTATTTACCTCTCTAACCAGTATATTACTCATTCCCTTTTCTGCCATATATGCATCAAACCATATTTAGAATCATAAAAATCCCTACATAGAAGCAGGCCATTCAGCCTATTGGGTCCACACCAACTCTCTGAAGGGCGTCCCACCCAGACCTATCCCCCTGCCTTATACCTGTAACCCTGCATCTCCCATGGTTAACCTACCCAGCCTGCACACTACAGGGCAATTTCCCAAGGCCAATCCACCTAACCCGCACATCTTTGGACTGTGGGAGGAAACCAGAGCACCTGGAGGAAACCCACGCAGACACAGGGAGAATGTGCAAACCCCACACAGACAGTCGCCCGAGGGTAGAATCAAACCCAGGTCCCTGGCTCTGTGAGGCAGCAGTGCTAACCACTGAGCCACCGTGCCGCCCTCTACTTAAAAACATCAATAAGGGTCTTCAGTTCAGGCAGAAGTTTGTAATCAGTGATTTCATAACCCTTTCGTAATTTGGAGCCACAATGGCACATGGAGGCACCTCAAGCGTGGTTAGGTAAATTTAACTTTATTTTCCACTCAGAGCAACATAATACTGAAAACTACTTCTTTAAAGTCCTCATTTTTGATCTATATTCTGTGGACAATAGTGACAAAGCAATATAATTTCCTTGGACAATTACAGTTTGATTTCACAGTGCATAAGCTAGAATCTGAAATAAGAATGATGTGGAGATGCCGGTGTTGGACTGGGGTAGACAAAGTCTGAAGTCATTTGACACCAGGTTATGGTCCAACAGGTTTATTGGAGATCACAAGCTTTTGGAGCATAGCCCTTTTGTCAGATGACGTGGAAGAACTTCCGTTTCACCTGACGAAAGAGAAGCATTCGAAAAGTTTGTGGCTTCAAATAAACCTGTTGGACTATAACCTGGTGTTGCGTGGCTTCTGACTGAAATATGAAAGCCATCCGGGCATGTTGAACTGTTCAGGAAGGGCTGACAATCCGAGGATTAACTAAAATGAGTAAATTAGGAATACTTACTCTTTGTTAACCCAGAGAAATTCCTTTTGTACTTACCAGGTGGGCACCTCTCCGTCACCGACACTCCGTGTTTATTCTGAGCTAGGCACGAAACACAAAAGCTTGCTGTTGTTTCCAGCCTCAGTGTACTAACTGAATGTGTGCCATTGAATTCTGACTTTATACTGACCCTGGGATCAGTGAGGTTTATACTTTCATCACTGATCTTCCATGTGATGACTGCAGGAGGACTGGCCTCAGCAATGCACTTGTATAGAACTTCCTGGCTGATTGTTACCTTGTCAGGCTTATCTGTAAGAAAACAAAAAAGAATGCCTATTGGAGATCTTGCTTAGCATGAACGAATCACTTGCTCAGTAGGTTAATGCTAAAGAGAGTCTGGACTTGAGTCTTAATCCTGTATTGAGTTAATCAATTTGAATCAAAGCAACAGCAACAAGTCTACCACCGGCCTCAAAGATTCTGGAAGAAAAACAAAACAAAGTTTCCTTTATTGATCACTAGATGTTGACTAGTTTTTCACATCTATGTGCCTGGGTTGTGTGAAAGCATGTTTATGTGTCTGTGCAAGTTTATGCATTGCAAGAAAGCCCTTCAGATAAAGAACAAGACTGGATGTGGGAGATATATTTCATTAAATCCCTACAGTGCAGACAAAGGAAATTTGGCCCATAGAGCCTGCCCCAGCCCAGTAACCCCAAATATATCCTATTTACACCCTGCTGCAATTTTAAGCACCTGGAGGAAACCTACACAGACACGGGGAAAATGTACAAACTCCACACAGACGGTCACCCAAGGCCAGAAGTGAAGCTGGGCCCCTAGCACTGTGAGGCAGGAGTGCTAACCACTGAGCCACTGCACCTTCCCATAAAGTTCTAAAAGACAGGGAAGCATTTCTCCATTGACCCCTGCTCTTAAAGCACATAATGAAATGCATTTGTTCCGTTGAGACACTTCGGTGTTATCTGAATGGTTGCAACAGAGAATGGGGCCATTCAATCCATCGTGTCTATGCTGGATTTCTGAAGAAGTGATTTTAAGACCGCTCTCCCACCATCTCTCCTGACCCTTTTACATTCTCCCTTTTCTGATGGCAATCTAATCTGCTCTTGAAGGCCTCAACTGAACCCGCCTCCACCATAGTCTCAGGCAGCACATTCCAGATCCCAACTGTGTGAAAATGTTGTCCCCAGTATCAGTACAATCCATGCATACATCCTACTGCTGCATAAAACAACCTCTCTTATAAAAGATTTCTCAGATAAAGTTCATGCTTATTATAATTGCATTGAACCACTTCTATGGGAGGTGATGGCCTAGTGATATTAACAATCCTATGAGCCTTATAATGTTCTCGTGCCCCAGGTTTGAATTCTGCCATGGCAGATGGTGGAAATTGAATTCATTTTTATACCAATTCTCAAATTAACAATCTAATGATGACCATGAATTCATCTTTGATTGTTGGAAAAACCTGTCTGGTTCACTAATGTCCTTTAGGGAAGGAAACTGCCATCCTTACCTGGTCTGGCCTACATGAGACTCCAGACCCACAGCAATGTGGTTGACTCTTAACTGGCCTCTGAGCTGTTAGTGATGGGCGGTAAACGCTGGCTTGGTCTGTGATGCCCATAATCCGTAAACGCATTTTAAAAAGTCAGGACGAGTTCTTTATAAATAGCAAGTCTTCACCTCTCCACAAACTATTAACCTCCTCAATAATCTTAAAACAAACTTTCCAGTTCCAAAATGTGTGAGGGCTAGATCCAAAGTAGAATTGACTTGAACTGCATTGTTTGGCTAAAATGCAAAGGAGAGATGTTGAAGCTGTTTGCAATGATTGACAACAGCGACAACTAATTAGGATGAAGCAAGGTATCAGTGCTGACTGTTCCAATCCTTAAATTTGCCAGTCAGGTTTTTGTCAGGATCTGTTATGTTGTGGACTCTGGGCCCTATGTAAGCCTATCCATGACTTAACTTGGAAAAACCAATCGTGTATGGTAAGGCCATAGTTAAGGATTAGAATTAATTGCACACACAATATTCAAGCAATATTCATCAGAATCAAAGTCATTCTCATTGAATTTGAGTCTGTAGACAACAGCAGAGCAAGATTAGTTTTCTACAAAACCGCTGCGCTTTGATCAATGTATGGCCCTTCAACCATACTCAACTCCTTACGGCTCTCTGGTGTGTGCATAATCTTCCATCACTCACTGGTTCCCACCCTGGTTAATTTCAGCCAGCCTTTAACAAACAAGTCATAGCATCCTTGTGTCATCTTTGAATTAGGCATGAGTTTCCTTGAATCAATTGCCAATCATGAAGTTAAGACCTTGAAAGGTCATTCACCGTTTAACAGAGTATTGTAAAGATCCTTGTTTAGCTTTCATTAATAGAGGGATTGAGTTCAAGAGCTGTGAAGTTATGCTCCAGCTATACAAAAGCCTGATTTGGCCACATCTGGAGTATTGCGTCCAGTTCTGGTCACCTCATTACAGGAAGGATGTGGAAGTGTTAGAAAAGGTGCAGAGGAGATTTACCAGGATGTTTCTTGGAATGGAGGGAAGGTCTTACGAGGAAAGGTTGAGACAGCTAGGGCTTTTCTCTTTAGAACGACAAAGGATGAGAGGTGACTTGACAGAGGTGCACAAAATGATCAGAGGTATAGATACAGTAGACAGCCAGAGACTTTTTCCTAGAGTGGAGGTAGCTTTTACGAGGGGACATAGTTTTAAAGTGAGTGGAGGTAGATATCGGGGAGACGTCAGAGGTAGGTTCTTTACTCAGAGAGTGATAGGTGCATGGAATGTATTGCCGGCGAGGGTAGTGGATTTGGCCCCATTAGGGGTATTTAAACGGCTATTAGATAAGCATATGGATGATAGTATAAGGCAGGAATGGAGGTTAGATAGACCTTAGGATTAGGGTAAAAGTTCGGCACAACATCATGGGCCGAAGGGCCTGTACTCTGCTGTACTGTTCTATGTTCTATGTTCTATGTTCTAGATCCTGACTGGCTCCACTCTATCTAGCTTCAACCATCTATCAATAATTTACTTACTATATTTCAAAAGTATCAAAATGGCCACTTCATTGTAATTGTCCCCAACTTAAGGGAAAAGAAATAATTTTCCTACCTGACTGTTATTATAGCCTTAATAAGGTTACCACTTCACGTCTAACATTTTATTTCAGCATTTTATGACACTACTAACTGTTAGCATGCATTGTATGTCACAAGTGTTTTCAAACTTTATGGAATCATAGAATCCCTACAGTGTAGAAGTAGGCCATTTGGCCCATTGAATGCAGGCTGGCCCTCCAAAGAGCATCTCAACTAGACTCACCCCCTTCCCTCTATTCTTATAATCCTGAATTTCTTGTGGCTAATCCACTAGCCTGCACATCCTTGAACACTATGGGCAATTTAGCATAGCAAATTCACCCTAACCTGCACATCTTTGGACTGTGGGAGGAAATCTCTCAGACAGGGAGACAACATGCAAACTTCACGCAACCAGCTGCACAAGGGTGGAATTGAACTTGGGTCTCTGACACTGTGAGGCACCAGTGCTAACTACTGAGCCACCGTGCCACCCTAAGGTTGTCTCTAAGCTGCCTCATTACCCTGGTTGGAATAGGTGTCCTCGGCCATACCTAGCATTTTCAACAAAAGGATAGCTCACAAGTCAGAACAGGTAGTATTTTATGTTGAACGTTAACATGTTGTAAATGCTTCTAGTCTTATACATGTCTTATACAGAAGTGACATGGTGGCTCAGCGGTTAGCACTGCTACCTCACAGCATCAGGGACCCAGGTTCAATTCCACCCTCGGGTGACTGTCTGTGTGGAGTTTGCACATTCTCCCCGTGTCTGCGTGGGTTTCCAACGGGTGCTCCAATTTCCCACAACAGACCAAAGTCGTGAAGGTTAGGTGAGTTGGCCATGCTATAGTGTCCAGGGATGTGCAGGCTAGGTGGATTAGCCATGGGAAATGCAGGGTTGTAAAGGGGTGGATCTGGGTGGGATTCTCTTCAGAGGGTCAGTATGGACTTGATGGGCTGAATGGCCTGCTTCCACATTGTAGGGATTCTAAGAAGATGCTTGTATGCTGTAAATGCTTAGGACACTGGAAAATGATGGTCATTGTGCAATCAAGTTATTTGTTAGTTCATCTTCAGCCTCTGAATCAGTAGCTTTGAGGGGGAAGGGATCGAGCTTAGATTTCAGCTCCTAACTCACTCCTCCTGATTGATTCAGTTTATGTTTCATTCATTGAGAGGGTCAGAGATTTGTTTGGTAAATTGGTTTTCATCTCAGCTGATATTTCGTGTTTGCTGATGAAATTTTGACACAAAGAGAAATGAGTTCTTTACAATCAGACTTTTAGATCTGACATTTGTGAGCTCATAATGCAAATGTTCCAAGGTTTTAAATTACACAGTTGTAGAAACCACCAACAAAATTGCTGAGGTATATCATTACATCTTTGACAATCCACCAATGACAATTCATTGAAAGAGATCATGGGGCAAAGGACAATGTGCTGCAAGGAGAAAGAAAAGGATTGCATTTCTGTCGTACCTTCATGGCTTCAGGTCGTTGCAAAACTGTTCCACAGCTAGGGATTTACATTGAAGTGTAGCTGTTGTAGTATCGTAAGGAAATTTCTCCTTTCTTGAGAAAGGATGTCCTGGCACTGGAGGGGTGCAGAGGAGATTCACCAGGTTGATTCCAGAGTTGAGAAGTTTGTCTTATGAGGAGAGATTGAGTAGACCGGGACTATACTGGCTGGAATTTAGAAGAATGAGGTGGGGTCTTACAGAAACATATAAAATTATGAAGGGAATAGATAAGATAGAAGCAGGGAGGGTGTTTCCACTGGCGGGTGAGACTAGAACTAGGGGGCATAGCCTCAAAATAAGGGGGAGCAGATTTAGGACTGAGTTGAGGAGGAAGGTCTTCACCAAGGGGTTATGAATCCATAGAATTTCCTGCCCAGTGAAGCAGTTGAGGCTGCCTCATTGAATGTTTTCAAGGCGGAGATGGATAGATTTTTGAACAGTAAATGAATTAAGGGTTATGGTGAATGGGCAGGTAAGTGGAGCTGAGTCCACAAAAGGATCAGCCATGATCTTATTGAATCACGGAGCAAGCTGCTCCTGCTCCTATTTCTTAGGTTCTTATGAAATATGTCATTCAGTTTTTACGCAGCAACATCCCATAAAGAGTGATAAGAAGCTAATAATTGGTTTTCAGTGATGGAGTTGGAAGGATAAA